CAGCTTTCTGCAGCAGAGTTCAGTTGCCTTCATCACGCAGTCATCATTTTGTAATTCCCAGCCTCGTTCACATTTATCTTTATCTTCTACAGCAAAATGAATAAGGGGTCACACAGGCAGCGTAATTCGCTCTACATTTCTGATTCATTCTTCGAATGCTGTGCACAAAGCAAAATTTTTGTGGAGCTACAGCATGAAGAAAACGTAGTATGTACACATAGGACAAATTAAGATTGCATCCTTTGTCTCAATTCCTAAGCAAAATTAACAGTGTTCTTCAATATAGGTAACATCCCAGACTATTAAAAGAGGAAATCAGTCTTCCTCCAACATTTTATAACATGACACCATGCTGCATCACTAGTTCAGAACCTTTAGCTCTCCAGACCTTTGGTGTTTGAGAGGGTAGAGGGATCCGGTAGCGTTAATTTCCAGCCTCTGAGCAGAGGTGTTACACAGGAGGAGACATTTTGCAAGGAGATAGGAAGTAACAGGACAATCTTGAGCTTTTTTCTGGCTTTGTAGCCCACTGCTTGCCCACCAAGCACAGCTCCTTTTCCTGCTCAGTCTCATCTTTTCCTCACCCTGGCTGCTTCCCTCACTTCCATTCTTTCTTGCCTAATCACTACGTGCTTCCCATCCTCTCGTCCCCTTCTGTCCGCATGGGGTCCTAGTTCAGGTCTCACCATCCTCTGACTTTACTCTTCAGACACTCCCCTCTCTCAGAGTTCCTTGTCCTTCTCTTTTAATTAACTCACTGTTTCCTGCTGGCTCCCTCTCACACAGCCCTTTCCCCAGTCTCTACCCTCCCAGACTAATAGCCTTTCTGATTTCCATTTTCCCTTTCTAAGTAGTCTTATAGCCTTTTCCCTCACCTCTCTTCCCCCTTGTCCCACCTTCCTTTCAGTCTCCTTGCTCAGTCCTTCCCAGTACATTTTCACCTTCTCTCTGCCTTTCAGACACAACAAATGTGACTTCCTGATCCTCTCAAGCTTCCTACACTTCCCTGCCTTGAACCAGTCGTTTCAAAGTCCGATTTGATGGCTTCAAAGTATAGGACACACAGCACGACCGGGAAACCCTTGCCGAGATCACTGGTGACAGTTCCTCTGATGAGTTCACACCGGTCTCTAGCATCCAGGAACATCCATTAGAGAAGGTTAATTTTTACACTACTGCAACTAGGCTTAAACAGGCTCATTAGCTCCAGTGGGATGGACTGTCAGAGGCCTCTCTCTCAGACACAGTGATTTGTAGAGGAATACTGCAGAAGTCCTTATTTGTTTAAGAAAAGGCATTGCTTAGTGTAAGATTCCCAGAATGGTTCAACATAGGCAAAGTACCAACTCCTCACTTTCCGAAAAATTGAAATTATTTTGGTAAAGTTTTGTTTGTTTTCTTGCTCCAGGTGAACAAAAATCCACATCACATGTAAAATTTTGGAGCAATTGTTCAAGTCTGGTAGGGTTGCTATAAACAGTCAAGACAGGTTTGCAAGTTGGGTATAGGCCCTAGTGCCATTAAGGGAGAGGTGAAAGTACCCTTGCCCACGCAGCAGCTGCAGGCAGACCAGCCTGTCCAGATGACAATGAACTAACTTTTAGAGCTTCAGTTTATCATTGTGTAGACTTTTCACTACCCTCTAACCGACATTAGAAGAAATTTTCGTCAGGAAATCCAGTCTTTATCCCTGATTTTCTGTAAAGATATTAATCTTTGTTGTACACATAGATATACAACATGCGCAAGATTCTTCCAGCCACAGGGAAGCCAGTCAGACTAATGCTCCAGTTAAATGAAAGAAAAGAAATAACGAAAAATTATTATTACACAATGATTATTTGAGCTTGTGCAACAGCTCAAGTAATTTCACTTTCCTATTTACAAATCTGGAAGGGATTGTAAAATTTGTTACAAACTATGTAAACAAGAGCGCTGTCCTGCACAATCATAAACTTGGACTTCTCCAAGCGTTTTGGGATGGTCTCTTTCCCACATTTGACAGAAAGCATTTGGTATAAGAGAACTTGGCCTTGAAAACAGCTGTCACGTGGACACAGCACCAGAAGGGCTAACAAGTTTCACATGGTTTTAAGAAAGTTTTCCTTGACATTTTGAAGTGAGGGTGAGGGAAAGAAAAAAAAAAAACCATACAAGGGGAAGAACAGAAAGAGGAGGGAAGGAGAACTGTAGGCACAAGCAGAAATAGGATTGGAAAACTTCAGGTAGGGGCACAGAGCATACAGGGTTAAAATAGTAACAGTCACAATTGTTTTCCAGGAGGAGCCTGCCAAATCCCTTTTGGAATTCACTTCGAATAGTTTGAGGTACTAATGTTCTTCTGTTTTTCTTAGTGATTGATAAATGAATTGTTTGAGACCCTGTCAGCTAGCCAAGTCCAGGAGGATGAAGTAGCTTTTGTCCCCAGAAAGCTAAGCAAAGTGACTCCAAAGACACAGCTGTGCACTACGGTTGTGGCAGCAATGGCAGTTGGTTATTTTACTAGGAGAGAAGATGTGGCCGCAGCCAGCGCAACGCCAGCCACACGCCTAAGTGACCTGCTAGCTTCGCACGGGGGGCAGGACAGCCAGGCAGAGGTTCATCCTGGCTACCTGTTCCATGTTGCCAGTTCCACAATCGGAGTCTGAAATTTACTTTTCCCCGTGTTACGACTGATGCTGTTGTGCTGGTGAAAACTGTGGTATGGGGCTGCTTTGTTTTCAAAGAAACCCCCTACCTGCTGTAGTATATTCCACGTGGGAAAGTAGTCAGGCAGAGTTGCTGGTGCATAAAAAGCTTGATTATTTGGATTAGTTTGATTATTTGGATTTTGGAAGGACAGCTTTTCAAACAAGAAGATTTAATGAAGAATCTGAAGGAAGAGAGAAAAATAAAACAGCTACGGGAATTATTTGTGCGCAATGTCAGCTGTTGAATGGAAAACTAAGCAGACGTAGGTTGAATTTATATGGATGGGTGAGGCAAGAGTACTTTTTGTACAATAGACATTTCTCATTTTACTTTTTAAAGAATTAGGAGCAACTACGAGTTGTAGAAATTAAGAAAAACCCAAACACACCAAAACTTTACCATTGAATTTCTAGCAGTCCACAAACCACAAATTCAGTTTCTCAGCACAATAATACTTACTTCAGGAGCGTTTGCTTTAATATCAGCTAGCCTAAACACGAGCAAAGTTTAAATCTATTGTGCGGATGAAACTAGCCAACATGCAGATGTGGTTACAATTCAGACTGCTGGCTAAAACTCTGAACGGCCGTGAAGCTGTGAACTGTGCATTGGGTGAGGTTAGGAGAAGAGGCACTAAACAGGAACCCTCCCTGGTGTAAATCAGAGCCCTAACAGGTGGCAGAGACTGCAGGCACGCACATGCTTTAATCTATGAGTGCACTGCTTCTCTCTAACAAATATAGATGAGCCATGTGGTTTTCTTATTGGTGTGATAATATGCTATATATGATGGGCTAATAAACAGCTTAAAAAGTAATAGCCATTGTAACTATAACACTAGAAGGCCTATAGTCATTCACAGTACTCATCTGCTATCCTATTTTGCAATATGCTTTTAATATTTTTAATAAGTTTTATAAACTCCACAGCTGAGATTAATTTAACCCAGCAGACATTATGCCAATTGTAATTTGCACATCTTGCATGAATGTGTCAACATTTTACTGTTTTGATATAGAAAGCAGTAATGTGAAAGGCTTAATTTGTTTGAAATACTTTAGCTTTTATTCTGCGTACCTTGAAGTACTACCCTTAAATATTGGATTATCGCTTATGGATAAGATGGGTGCATATGAAGCTCACAGGCTTGATATGATCTCATTATCATAGCCTGCTTAATTCCAAATACATTAATATCACTGTTTTTTCATGCTTGCAGCTCACATATTATGTATGCCTCCAAAACATAACAGAACTGCTTAGAGTTTTTCCACAGATTTAACTAAGCTTTGCAACCATAAAAATAACTGTAAGTGGAGCTCTATTTCCCAAACTCCTAACGTGCAATATCCCTTACAAATCTTATGTTAAGCAGCATAGGATGCACATGTAACCCCCAAAAATGTTTAATTTAAAAGCAGGAAAGAGAGCAAGCTATTGTACAATACAGAAGAAGGTGGCAGAATTCAACCTTATGCTCCTATTAGTTTAACAGAAGAATTGATATTGCAAAGGATAGCTATTTAATCTACAAAATTAATAAAACATTGTTTTACTATTGACATAGTGCAACAAAGAGCAATTTTTAATGCAAAAATTACAACTAAAGAAAGTTATAATCACTAGGAAAATCCAACATATAGATCAGTATCAGCAGCTTCACAGGGGCAACTTTACCAAGTCGAAAGCAGCCCTTACAGACAGGGTACTCAAACGGAGTGAAGAAAACATTACTAAAGTAAGCAGAAGGTCTGGTGTAACTCCACCACACTGAAGGGATTTGCATCTGAAGGAAAACGTACATTTAATTCAGTGTCCCTCTTGCATGCTATATTCCCTATTGTGCTGAATCAGAGGATAAAAATTCCTGTTACCTGAACGCAAACTACCTTTTGAGAACTGCCAGTTCTAGTAGCACTGCCCAGTGTTGCTACAAACTACTGGACTGAGTATAAAATGTGGATTTCAAGGCATCTGAAATGAGTCAGTTCAATATGTACTGTCATTAAATATTTACAGCAAGTATTTGTGCAATGTTTAAGCTGTTCCCTATTTTTTAATTTCAGCTCATAACTATTAATAGTAACTCTCAAAGCATTAAGTACAAAAATATTTGATCATTACATGCAGCTAGTAACCTTGAGAGACCGCATTACACTTTGATTCTATCAAAGAATAATTGCCATGAAGAACTGTAAGACAACACCACGATATCATAGTTTTTAAAAAAAGCCACTACTGAAGTTTATCAACTACCTGCTTTGCAGTGTTCAAAACAAGAAAAGAAAAAAAAAGCCAGATACACTTACCCTTGGTACCAATAAGCAAGAACACATAGAAGCGGCAGTCAGGCGTCATATCTGTCCTTCAGCAATTCAGTGAATAAAGTCAATGAACGTCCCTTAAACTGCAACGCCAGCCAGCGCGCAGCTCGTGCGGTCTGCTTCTGGCAGCCTTCAGCCGTGCGTGAAGCAAGCTGCCTTCTCTCCCCTGCCTTCCTCCCTCGCCGGCCTCTGCGCTAGGTCTCCCCCTCTCCCCCCTCTCTGGCATGCGCCCACACGAAAGTTTCTGGGACCACACCGGCCCCTCAGGCTCGCCCTTACAGGATGGGGTCTGCTCTGCGGCGGGCGAAGGCTGGGATGTGCGTGGACACGGGTCTGCCCCAAGGAAAGCTGCTGCTGCTGCTGCATGAAGCACAGCCAGGTCCAGAGATTTGTCATCAATAGTCCAATGGGGCTTTTTCCCCCCTTAATTATTTTTCAGTCACAATACTGCAAGAGGCCTGGAAAGTACAGGGTTTTTTAGGCAACTCTGTTTGAAACTGAACATTTGCTATAGTTTAGATAAAAAAATGGTGGTTTCTCAAGTAAGGGGAAATGAAATTTATACATGCAGTCCCCTTGTAGCAATCTGGTCACTCACTGAGATACAGAAAAACGCACAATGTAATTTATTTCCAATAACAGCATGTCACTATTTTTACACATAAACCACTCTTCATGACTAATGCTAAAGAAAACAATCTCAAAGAGCAGAGAGGGATGTTCGCAAACATATACTGTATGGGAATAAGATTTCACACAGATTCTCTCTTTATTTGAATACTCTGAGACATTCCTATCTGGCCCTTGACTTTACTGTTACCAGTAGGTCATGGTATGCTCAATCGCAGTCACATGGTTAATAATATTTTTTTACAATATGAACGTTTACACTCATCAGCACAGCAAGATATATTTCAAAACAAGTCAGTCAGTTGAGATGAACTTGAGGCAAGAAGCTAAATTTTATCTGCCCTCCAAAAGGTTTTGATTTTGTTTTGATTTTTTTTGGTTTATTTTAAAAAAAGCTTGATAGATTCAACAGCATGCCAGGATGCCAAAGGTCAGGGAGCACTGGTAACACATCAGCAGCTATGTCAGGTACCCAAGGAAGAAAGCCACCCAGACTAAAGAAATATGTGGATGCATGGACATATGAAACTGTGAATTTAGAAAATGGGAAAAATCTGTATCATAGTCAAAAAGCAAAGTCTACATTGTTGCTATGGCAAAGTTGTCTGTAAAACAGATACTATGAACTGTCAGTCTCTTGACTTCTAATATAAAAGAATACAAAATACAGTAGGGGTTAAACCAAAAGGTTCTTATCTATGGAAACCCTCAAAAGTCTGCTGGTATCTACTGTACCAACATAAATACTAGGCAGTGTCCAGGCAAAAAGGGATTAAGCAGACTAGGGACCTATAAAAGATTTCTTTTATAAGGTGGGTACTAGTTTTGGAGCATATAAAGTAAAACCACAGTTGCCTCAAACAACTATTCAAGAGTTAAGCTAACATCTGTGTACTGTAGGGTTAATGCCTGCTGAAAAGGGCTTCCAAGGTGGGAAAATAAGAGGAAGAAACTGAGCCAAGAATATGAAGAATAAGAGAAATATACTTTCAGGGAAAATTAAAATAAAAGCTCTACCTCTTTACTGCAGGATGAGACAGAACTGATGTTCTAGAGAAAGGGTTTTTTTTTTTCTGGTATAGTTTCCTCTATGGCTTTCTTCTTCTGATTTGATCACCTCTGAGATGTGTAGGAACCATACATGTTTTTGGAATATGCTATTTTTACCTGATAATATAATAAATCAAGCAAGCTGTTTCTTCAAAAAGCAGTCTGACCACTACAAAAGCTCAAGATTTTCTACCTCAGGGTAAACAGGGAAAATCCCAAAATGCAGCACATATCACCCATATACATTTCCTGAAGCTCTGCCCCAATGGGAGTTGTCACTTTCCATCCTTCCTCTTTTTCAAGGACATTTAACAAGGATACTCATTAAAATTAATATTGCTGCAAACATTTTCTCTATGGAAAATCCAATTAGATCTTCCCTTTTCTAAATTTCTTATACTTTCATAATAAGGATACACAAACCAGCAGCACTTTCCAGCCCATTCTCTCAGTGTAATTATATTTAAACCAAGAAGATGGAGTTACAAACATGCACACTGCTGAACTCTGGAATGCAGAGCAGAAAAAGAGGAGAGGCAAGCTTATTATTTGAGCAAAACATTAAATATGACATTAATGGCTTTTGAAAAATAGTTTTGGCTTACCTTACTTGAAAGCATTTTTACTTCGTCTTTGAAGAAGCACTGCCGTGCATTAGAAAGGCAATAAGTACTTCCCTCCTGCCTAAACTGTTAAAAGCTGCAACATTTTGGCGTTTTAGAAATCGCTTTTCAAGAAAACAATAGACTTTATATGCTAATTCCTTACAGAGCAAAGAAATAACACATTAGAGTTACACCTTTGTTTAAAAACTTTGAGAAGACATTAAACTTCATTTGGATGGTCAGTATTTGCATTACAGCAATTCTACAATTGAATTTTTTTTAAAAAGCATAGAAAACTGCAGTATGGGTTATAATGCAGATGTTTAACTCCGAATTCCAAGGAATGAGCACGTTAAACTAATTCACTGGAATAAAAAAAGGTGTCATTTGACTTCTTTACTATTTACTGGCAAATGCTCACAGTTTGAATTTCTGTCTTTACAGCTGTCTGGTGCCAGTCTAAAGAGTTGGTCTAAAATTGCAGTTTTAAAACTGGAGGAACCTACTTGTCAGATCTGAGGGGGGGGAAATCCCCCTGCCCCTAAATATTCAACCAACATTGTGCCACCAACACCACACACTATCAGAAGACATTAACAAACTTTTTCACTAATTCCAAATAACTATGGTTATTATTTTACTGAGAAAAGTCATGTCACGTTTCTATTACAAAGTGTTAAAAATTAAATTGAGTATACTAAGCTTAGAATTAAATAATAGTAATTATGAGGCACTTTCAGATAACCGTTGCTAGTGAAGTGCTAGCACCTTGTAGTCTTTTTTTTCCCATAAATCACATCAGGTGCTATGTAGAAGGCAATTCCTAGAAGCAAACAAATCATAATTGCATGCATCATCATTGCAAGCATCACCATTAAAAATAAACTAAGCTGTAAATCACTGCTACTGCAGAAATAAGTTAGAATTCCTTTAGAGCTTGAAGAGAAGTGTTTACTTACCCACAGGCTGCAGCTACTCCCTCAGTGGTTAATAAATATTTTACCTCAAACTCTGACTCTACCACACTCAATATTACAGCTGATAAGCTTCAAGCAGATTCAGTACAGGTGGGAGCAAAGGTATCTCTGAGTTGTAGTCTATGTGGGGCAGAGAGATACATACAAACTCTACTTGTTACCATGCTGCTCCTAGTATGGGACTCAGAGATATTTTTGCTCTTTCCTAATGTGGGAATTTTCCTTGATTTAATTAAGAATAGTTTTGAGGATACTTTATGTCATGTATCAAATCAAAGAACCACAAGACAACAGACATGGCAATGGTGATTTTACAACTAAGAGCTGCTCATTAAGCAAAGTAAATTCTCAGCTGAAAATACCGACTAGATTGTCAGCTGCTTTGCTGCCCTAGTGAAACACAAGAAGTGCAGAGTGAAGCACTGAAAGTAAAACTGGGCCCATATTGCCACTGCAGTCCCGAAGATTATATAGCTCACATTTAGAAACGATACCCCAAGAAGTGAACACTTGCTTTCTCAGCCATTTGATGGCCAAATTTTAGGGTTTTTATTATAGCAATGTGAATAATTAACATGCAGCTAAGGCTTCAGAACATAGCATGTAAAACGTAAGTTCTCCATTATGTATGTCAATCCTACAATCCGAAAGATTTAACTGTGCAAATGAATATAATTGGCTTAATTACAATTAATTTGCATTGCTTTCAAAGCTCCATCAATATGCTTTGCAGACAGCACGCCTGAGAATAAGATGTTTATGTTTTGCAGGGCAACCATTACCTTTGGAGGATGTATTCCTTATTTAACACCTACACCAGGTTCCCTGAGTTCGGAGCAAAGAAAACTAAAGGACCTCTTAGGAAAAGTACAAGAATATCTAAGCACAGAAAGATAAGAAAAGACCTCTTCTACAGCGCCTTTTTCCAAACAGTAAGCTGCACTGCAGTATCTTTATCTATCTCAGACACCTGTGACTCAACCAGTATTGCAAGAACATGTTATCTTTTCATAAAGATTACTCTTCCCCATTGAGCAATTGCAGAGATTTAATAGGATTTACCTCCCCAAACCTGCAGAGCCTGGGACGCCTGGCCTAACAGGCCAAGCCAACTGCACAGGCACCTTTGCTGTAGGGCTTCCTAACTTCTCACTCCCCTCTCCAGACCCTCTTTATCAGCACAGCCGCAGCTGAGCAGGGATTACTGGCATTTGCTTCTGGAGAAAGAGGCAAGACTTTGCTGGAGAAACTACCTGAGCTAGATATTCTCTCCTGAAGGGCTTTATTACAGGGGCAGTACAGAATTTTTTTTTTCAGTATGTAGGTATATCCACCAAGTGTCTCAAAACTATCTCTGCCAACCTCATTTTAAGCTAAGGCAATTGTGCAAAGCTTGGCTCTAGTGCCCATTCCCTGCTGCAGAGCAATCCTAACTCCCTCGCTAGGTCCATGACCTAGCTACAGAGGGGAACAGGGACAAGAAGTTTCACTTTTCCACAGGAAAAAGGCAGACAGAAGAGGAGGAAGGCTCCAGGGATGACTATTTTGTCCCTTGTACGTCTTTTGTTGTTTGCCAGTGAGACACTAGCTTGGCTGTAGAGAGTGGTGTACCAGCAGCGGTACCCAGCTTGCCCTAAGCTCACTGAAACGCTTTCCTTCCTTCTGCAAAAGGCACTCTCTGCCGCTGGGTGGCTTGGCGACCCCATCCAGCTGTCCCTCCATGGCTGGTGTGGAGGTCCCTCCGTGGCTGGTGTGGAGGAAGGCACTCGGTC